AAGAATATCACCCTTCAAATATTCTTCGACAACTCTATATATATATATATATATATATATATATATATATATATATATATATATATATATTTATATATTTATATATTATATATATATATATATATATATATATATATATATATATATATATCTATATATATATATATATATATATATATATATATATATATATATATATATATATATATATATATAGAATGGCTTCTCTTTCTTCCTCCTGGATTCTATTCTATCATTGCGTATGTCACTGCCTCATCGCCTGCTCGCCAAATGTGACCTAACCATCTAACTCTGCATTGCTTTATTTTGGTTACGATGTCTTCCTTAATTTCTGCATTTGTTCTGCTTCTATATTTATTTTGCTCTGTTCTGATTGGTCCTAGTATGGTTCTCATAATCTTTCTCTCTGCTATTCTTAAGTTTTCTTCATCTTTTTTAACCATCGTCATTGTTTCCCCTGCATATAATAATATTGGTCTAATTATGGTGTTATAAATGCTCATCTTACTTTTTTTAGTCAGTGTTATGCTTTTAAGTAATCTTTTGTTTGCAAAATCAGCTTTATTCGCTGCTAATATTTTTTCTTTTATTTCGGATTTCCTTTCTCCGGATTTACTCATTGTAACTCCTAGGTATTTGAAGTATTCTACTTCTTCAAACTCAGAACTTCCTAATCTTAATATTTATTATATATATATATTATATATATATATATATATATAATATATTCTATATATATATATATATATATAGAATGGCTTCTCTTTCTTCCTCCTGGATTCTATTCTATCATTGCGTATGTCACTGCCTCATCGCCTGCTCGCCAAATGTGACCTAACCATCTAACTCTGCATTGCTTTATTTTGGTTACGATGTCTTCCTTAATTTCTGCATTTGTTCTGCTTCTATATTTATTTTGCTCTGTTCTGATTGGTCCTAGTATGGTTCTCATAATCTTTCTCTCTGCTATTCTTAAGTTTTCTTCATCTTTTTTAACCATCGTCATTGTTTCCCCTGCATATAATAATATTGGTCTAATTATGGTGTTATAAATGCTCATCTTACTTTTTTTAGTCAGTGTTATGCTTTTAAGTAATCTTTTGTTTGCAAAATCAGCTTTATTCGCTGCTAATATTTTTTCTTTTATTTCGGATTTCCTTTCTCCGGATTTACTCATTGTAACTCCTAGGTATTTGAAGTATTCTACTTCTTCAAACTCAGAACTTCCTAATCTTAATATTTTTGTCTTTTCTTGATTTAATCTTAGCCCCATTACCTCCCCTTTCTTTCTTATTTCTTCAAGCATTTCTTTCATTATTTTTCTGTTCTTTGCAATAATACGACAACTCTAGGAAATATTAAATATTTTTGGATATTGGAAATATTATTATATTCACTGAATTCTATCAACAACGAAACTGTTTAATAACTGCCTATGGTGGTAGATTTAGATGCAGTTTATAAACAGACGGTAAGTAGATTTTAATTTAAACGTAAGATATTGAATCGTAAATATCAAATATCCTCAACTCCCAGCTATCGCGGTGCTTAAACGGATTGATAGGCTAAAGAAATGACATTAAAGCCATGACATTGGCTACATACACAATGACACATTAGGTATGACACACACCTAATGTGTCATTGTGTAATAAAAATATTTTTTTATATAATTAATTTTTTTAGTTGTAAAATAATTGACTACTGATTACTGGTACAGTTTTTTTTGTTCAGATTTTATTAAAAGTAAAGAAAATGATCAATTTCATTTTAAATAGACAAGTAACGAAAATAAATAAGTCTACTGTTTTTCCTTGAAACAAAAGAAATTTTAAAGTTTTCAGTAGAGAGTCTTTTGTTCTCTGGGAGTAATAACAGCTTGCAAATGTTAAGGCATTCTTTGTATCAGATTTTAAATTAAATTCTGCGAAATATTTTCTCATTCAGTCACCAGTATTCATCCAGAATTCTGGACTATGAATAGACCAAACAAACAGCATAATTTCAACATTGTCAATCAAGTCTTAGGCAATATATAAATATTAAACAACAGTTTGTAGTCTCCAAGAGTAAACCATGAAAGGTAAACATGGCCTTCTAAAATCTGTCAGTGTAAGTGCAGTCAACGTGCCATTAGCGATAAAGACTAATTCGATACGAGCTTTAAAAGCTATGGCCTCCATGCCATAACTTATCCAGTAAAATTGTAGCATTTTCAATTTCATTGATTCTTTGAAGTATATTAAAGTCCCCTCGTATACGAAATATTAAAATCACCTTATATATTTTTGATAGATCTAAAAATATTTCGTACGTATTTAAACCCAAATATCTTTTCATTTCTTTCTTAGGTCGGCCAAGTTGAAATAAACCATTTTAGAGTTGTTTATTTACTTTAACTTTCTCGGCAAATTCTTGTTTTATTAGAAGCCGCAATTTTAATGCGTCGCAAAAAGATATGTACGTCGTTTCGTGGTGTTTTGTTATGTCAGCGTTTGTATGTATGCGTTCAATTTTAATAGAATTTCTTCACCATCGTTGGAGCCGCGGTGAAAAGCGGTCAACGTTATGTCCGAATTTGACTTCAAATTCGAAATGTTCCTCGTTGTTTGTGTTTTTTTTTATGAAGACGTTTGTTCGTTTTTTTTTTATGAAGAAAATGTGTAGCAGTGTGAAGTTAATGGTTCAGTAAACGTTTAAGTGAGCAATGGAAGAATCGTCGATTCCATCCTCCTTTTGTTTCTCCCTGGTTATCATCCAAGGCTTTTGGCAGTATGGAGATGGATTTGTTTGAGATATGAAGATATGGAGATAGATAGTTGTGTTCATTGCACAGAGAGTACCTAAAGCCCTCAGTTCCAGTTATGGTTTCGGATACTCCAGTGGCGTCTGGTTCTACAAATTCTAGTGCATTTTGTTAGTGAAAATCCAGGTAACTTTTTGATCAAATTTTAAAGTAAAGACAGACAATTTGTTTTGAATTAAATAATTGCTTTCGTTGACATTTAAAATTGTAAATTTTAGGTTTTGAGTTGAGCTGTCAATTTGTGTGTTTAGTTTTTTTTTAATTTAATGTTAACTTGTGACAGCTCGTTTTTTATTATTTTTTTTTGACTATTAGTTTGTTTTATTTTTAAACAAGGTTAACCTCCATATAAATTTTATAAGATTATGTAGTATCTCCAACTCCTGGAGTTTGTAAGCGGATGACACGTAAGTTTTTGTATTTTGTATTTCTCCATTTTGTAACTGTTTGTGGTGACACATAAATAAAGGTTAACTTTTGTTGTCTTAACTTTTTATTTATTTTTTTGAGCCAAACCTTTTTTTGATTCTTATTTGAAAAAGATATGTTTTTTATGTTTTGATTTGTTTTCTAATTATTTCCCTAGTTACAACCAGTGGTTGTAATAGGTATAATTAGGCACCTCAAGTGGCGCCCTATATTAAATTCCTTGGGGTGTTTCTTGTTTATTTTTATTGTGTTTGTTCCAAGAGATTAATGACCCCTTTATTTCATTTTATTGTAGTTGCCCTATTCTAACCCCTTTATCTTTTACTTATCCACGACCCCAGCTCTCCTACCAAACCCTGAGTGCCGTTCGCACAAGTAGCGTTTATGTTGCTTGCCTTATCTTCACCCCCAATAGTTTCTTCCCCCAATTTTCTACCCCTTATATTAATGCCCCCTGTGGTAGGCAAGATATTATCGTTACAAAATAAAATAGTGATTCATCGGAAAACAATACAAAATTGCAATCCGCTATTGTCCATGGATATCCGCGATGGAGCGACGATATTAAAAGAACTGCAGGGCCAATGTGGAAACGTCTTACAAACAACAGATATGAATGGCTAGAAATAAGGAGAGGCCTATATTCGGCAATCCGAATAGAGAAAAGGGCTTAAAAAAGATTGTCCAAGCAAAATATTCTTCTGAAAAATTCAATCTAGCAATCTCATCTTCACAGGAACACGGCGACGCAGTAGCTCTAGAAGATATTTTAGTAGCATGAAGTTTCCCAACTATCTTCTTACTTATGTTTATATTTCTCACTTTTTGCAGATCGAAAGCACGAAAACGATAAAACGGTCATCTCTTAGTTGTTGTAGTTCTGCCTCTTTTCTGTCAGTCTTTTCGTACCGCCGCCATACTCGTTATACACTCGGGAGAGTATTACACCAAAGCTTCTCGCAGATTCGCACTAACCACGTCTATCTAAAGCCGTCACAATTCTTGCCGCAATAACGAATTTATGTTCATTGCAATACAATAACAATGACAACAGTATACAAACAAATATTGCAATCGACAGGTACTACAGAAACAAAACTCTATGCTGGCAATGGTTTCAAGGAATTCGGATGGGAGGTCCTTTTTTTGTAAAAGGCTTATCGAAACAACTACAATTTTTTTTTGTCTAGGTTACAAACAAAAAAAAAGTTTTCTAAAACAGCTATCAATTACAGGGTGTACCTAATTATTTTTTGGCTTGGATCATTCGTCATAAGCTCACATCAAATTATTTACAGAAAACATCACATTTATTCCCTTCAATCTCTACTTTAATCTAACCACACATATAGTTTTACTAACCAAAAAACACGGTAACGTACTTCCCGTCTCGTCCAGGTATCCGCCAGTGAGTGCATTGTTTCAACATACTAGTCTTGGGATGTATTTAATTTGATATTTGATTAAATACGTTGGGTTTGGACAAAATAACATTTAAATACATTATATGTTACTTTAAATTTGTGCCTTTACAGCTAACTATTTATCACGACTCAATTACAGCTTACTTTGTAATACAGTTTTGTTTGATTCATACATTTCACAGGGCAACGTATTTTCTAAATTATAGAATACTACTATTTACTAAGTTCTCTCCAGCCATGGTTTCTATTTTATTTGAAGAAGTTGATATTCCCGAGATTTGGTTGTTAAAAGAAATAGAAGTAAATAAATAATTGAATCATAAAAATAAAACTGCTTTTATTAAAACTTTTTAATCGGTATAGAATAAGCCAAATATCTTTAAGTAAGTACACACTAACTAGAAATACTTTCAATATGTGTATGTGTAAGATGGCGCGAATACATCTTCTTCAATGAGGGGTGTTGTTTCTGTTGGATTTCTAGTCTCTCTAAATGGTCTATTAGGAGGAAAAGGTGGTTTTCCTCTTTGCTGTCTAACTTGAATGAACACGCCAAAAATTAATAAGATAATCCAAAGCAGGATGTGCAGAATATCTAAAAAATAAAGAAGGTACTTTTTAATTTTACAATTAACAGTGTTGTTCAATCTTGCGTGTTGTAAAAACTGTTCGCAGTGTGGAATAGCAAAATCAATCACTTCTACGTTCTCAAATGGAATAAATGCGTTATTTCAATATTGATGCATTAAAAAATCACATAACACATAAATTTTCAATTTCTTCAAAATTATATCCTACTGCGTAATAATTTCATCACTAAATTGAATACCCTTACAGTGAAGGTTACAATATCTGAAATTTTAAATGAAAAAGTAGGGACCTTGTTATGAATTATTTAAAAGATCCCTTCGTTGTTTATTCAACACTGTTACGGTTTTAAGATTTAATACAAAAATTAACCAATGAATGAACTGATGAATCTCGACACAGCGCTTCAGAAACTCAATAGAAGTAGTACCGTTCAGTTCTAAATAAGGTAAAAAACAAAAAAAAAAACATTAATTATACTTGGCAATAACTAGTGTTAACTGTCCTAATCATAAGCATTCCCATACTTCCTATAAGAATAAGTCTAATAGCATAATATCAAGTGATCGTGCTGGCTATTATTTCGTATTTCACCTTCCTATCCACGATTTGAAAATATTCGGGATGTACAATGATTACGTAATGTAGTGGTTATTTCAATTCAAATTGACATCATTAAAAAAAGGGCCAATGATATGTTCGCCAACAATCCGTACTCCAATATTAACTTTTACAGGGTTTGTCTCTCATCAGTGAGGATTATTTATAAGTCAGTAGCGGTTATTTTGACGATTATTATGCTCGTGAAATGCAGAAGAAGATTCATCAAAAAATAATATGTTCTAATTATATAACCATGTTCATCGTCGTCTTCTTCACTGTTTAGGGCTTATGACCTGTTCTGGCTCAACTGTCCATGTTTTCCGAGGGCGTCCTATGCAGCGCCTTTCACGTGGATGAATTTTTTCTTATATTGAAAATATGTCTAGTTTCCTCTTATTTTCAGTGTTTCTTATCTGATCTAATTTTGTACATCCCCATTTCCTTATTAAACTTTAAATTACTATTTTTTCTGGATTTACAACCTAACGTTCGTCTATTGTGCCGCACATTCTATTGGCCGTTGCTAAGGCATTTAAAATAATTAATTTGTTACAGGTTAGTATTACCAATACATATTTTAGATCTGATAGTTTCCTGGCTGCGGAAGGCCATAACTTTTTTTGTGTTGGAAATTCCACAACTGCATTTTTTGGTACCGAAAAGGAGGGTGTTAATTGAGGTTCTCAAATGGAAACTAATTCCGTTGGGAGCTTGTGTTTTCCATGTTCTAATTAAGTTATCTAAACATATGTTAAAAAGTATTGAGAATAGACAGAAACCTTCTAGTATTCCTTGATTTATTAGAATTAGTTCTGTTACTTCGTCAGAACTATTATCAATAACTATACCAGTGAGCCTATATATACTTTTAACAATATTGATTAGATGTTTTGGGAAACCTTTATTTTCGAATATTTCCGAGAGTTTATATCCTATGATTATATTAAATGCTTTCGTGAAATCTATGACTTCGATATGAGTTCCTGGGTTATATTCACAGCGTTTTTCGATTATCTGTTGAATCGTGAATATAGCGTCTATGTATGAAACACCCTCTCGGAACCCATGTTGTTTTTTCTCGAGAAGGTATTCAGTTACTGTTTGTCTGCGTGATGCTATTATTCGTACATATAGTTTATAGCCTCCATAATTAATAATGGAGGCTATATTATAATATATATATATATATATATATATATATATATATATATATATATATATATATATATATATATATATATATATATATATATATTGTGGCTAAACACCCCACACGGGGTTACGCCGCTTAAGCTCTCTAGATCTATGTTACGATGTAGATCAGTCCTTATTTTCTTTATTTAATTTTTCCTTTTATTTTTCTCCACTGTTTCCTATCTCTCCATTGCCGTACGCCCGCCCTGTTGAGATCATTTGTTACTTCTTGTAGCCATGTAGATCTTAGTCTTCCACGTCTTCTTTTACCAGCTGCTGTCCATTCCAATATTGAAAATATTGTCGTAGATGGTCCTGATCTCCATATATGTCCTCGCCATTTTGCCCTTTGCTGTTTTATTTTACAAACTATATCTTCTTTAATTTCGTTTAGTAGTTCATGATTCGTTCTTTGTCTATATTGGTTTTCATTATTTTTTATTGGTCCTAATATTGCTCTTAGTATTTTCCTTTCGAGTATTCTAAGGTCTTCCTCTTGTTTTTTTGTCATGCTAAGGGTTTCTGCAGCATACATCATAGTCGGTCGAATTATTGTTTTATATACATATCTTCATTTTCGATTTGTTGCTCAGTAAGTTATTTTTAAGAAGTTTTTTATTTGCATAGTATGTCTTATTTGTTGATAATATTATTAATATATTGTTAATAATATTACCAAATACTTAAACTTTTCTACTTCTTCAAATATATATTCTCCCAGTATAATTTTTTTTTATTTCATATTTTTTGTCAAATCTCATTATTTTTGTTTTTTTTTCTTGATTTATTACAAGCCCATTACTTTCTCTTCTGCTACCAATTCTTTTAACATACTTTCCATTTTTTTTCTGCTCTTTGTTATTATCACAATATCGTCATCATATGCTATTATTTGTCCCTCTCTCGTTCTAAGTGTACCTTTATTGATTTTTCTGACTATATATTCCAGAACAAGATTAAAGAGAGTTGCAGATAATGAATCTCCTTGACGTACATCTTTATTTATAACAAATTCTTCTGTGTCTCCCTCTTGTGTTTTTACAGTTACTACGGTTTTGCTCATTGTCATTTTTATTATTCGTCTTAATTTGTTGTGTATTATCATTTCTCTCATAGCTGTAAGTAATTTCGCTCTGTTTATTGAATCAAATGCTTGTTGGAAGTCTATAAAAAGCAGTTCAATGTCTATTTTATATCCATAAGCTTTCTCCATAACTTGCTTTACTGTATGTATGGCATCTGTTGTTGACTTTGCCCTAATAAATCCGCATTGATACTGTTTCATGATATTTGTAGTCGCTTCGGCCAGTCTTCGTTGTATTAAGGTTGACATGATTTTATACGCTGTGTTTAATAATGTCAGTCCTCTATAATTATTACACATTTGTTGGTCTCCTTTTTTATGGAATGCGATAATGTGATAAGGCGATGGTCTGCTATTATCTGTAGATGTCCGTATCAAATAAGCTATTTTTGCTGTGTTTCTGAAATGATGGTGGTTGTCTTATTCCTTCATTTTGTTATGTGCATAATTCTCGATATAACTTTTGATCTGCGCCAAAAATCCATTTCCGGAACAAGTAGTTTTTGTATAGTTACATAATAAAGTTACGTAATAAAGTACGCATCCGAATTGTAAGAGGTGTAAATCAAATCACCGCATACTAATAACAGAATCAAAGTAACATGGGTTCACAAGGTGGGCACTATTTTGCAGAAAACCAGTATATAGACACTGGCCCTTACCTGACAGTGCTAGCGATCCTGTCGATAAACCTTCAACAAAGGCTTGTCATGCATTTGTTACTGTTGCATCTTGCCAATCTTTAGTGCTGTAAGTCCTGCGTTAACCCAAGTCTTGTTCAGGTAATACATTTTTCGTTTTCCCGCATGATATTCCCGAATTGAGCGTAGATAATTACATCGCCATATTATTTCGTCTTTCTCTGTTAAAATGGATTTCCGGCATCTTTTTATATATCGAAAGTTACGACCTTGTAATGCTTTTCGTAATAATTCACGGCTCATTTAAGGAAAATTATCGATTTCGCCTATTTTAATTAGTATATATTTGAGAGTCGCCTATTTTCAAAGAAAAATGAGTGTACAGTTCTGCAGAGGATATTTTTTTGGGTTTCATGCAACGCAGCAAGTTTTCGTTCTCGCAGATTTGTAGATAGGTTTAAAATTATTTGTTTTCTCATATACAATACATTCAATTGTTGCCACTAATACTCCTATTAAAAAGAACAGGAACTAACAGCTTCCGTTGAAGGTAATGGTTTTTTAGTCCATCATAGATCTGCCAAATACCTTGTTCTTAAAAAAACTAATGGAATATCCGGCAAATCGTCTTACTTTAACCAAATAGATTGTCTTACTTCACAATAAAAAAACTAATTAACAAAATGAGTACGAAAACTATTAAGACGAAGCAATCGAACACAAACTTAACAGCCGCTTCTATAACAACCACGATGAACAATGATGGCAAAAACTGTTCGCATGTTTTAAATAATATTTTTAAGGATTGATCATTTACTGGCTATGCAATTCCCACTAAGATATTATCCAGTCCATGTCAATAATCAACAAAAATGTAATATGATGACAAGTATAAATTTGATTGTAATACGATCTTCGCCATCACAGCACATATTACTTGTCGATAACAGTTTTTAGATAACATGAATAATTTTTCAATTATATGCGTGAATTTAAGAAATTGATTTCGGTAAAATCTTTAATTGTAGGATGTTACGTACCGATATTCCAATAGTAAGGCAAGATCGGGTAATTACGAAATTCACAGAACGACGACGACCAGGCACGAGACATAACGATAGAATTAATATCTAATAAAATAATTAAATTCTAAACAAAATAAGGAAATAACAACTCCGCTGGAATTCTATTATTTCCCAATAGTTTGCAGTTTTAAAATCGGTTCTTAACAATGAATCACCCTCTCTATTTTCTTGTCGGAGTATGGTGTAAGTCGGTATGGTGTGTTTATATTAATATTTTACACGCCAACAATCTTAACTACTCAGGTATTTTGAGGTATCATCCAATATAAGTAACTTAAAATAACATTATATATATATATATATATATATATATATATATATATATATAATATAAATTTAATATTTCTTGGGTTAGGTTCAATAAAGATATGTTACATGTGGAACTAGATTTTATTTTCCATTGCAATTAATCAACGTTTCGGCAGGAAACCCTTGCCTTTGTCAAGATTCTAAAATGTGTATAAATATAAGGACAAACAGATATTGTAAAATATGTATATATATATGACTTACCAAAACGTAAAACGTGACACAGACATTAACGAACTAACATATAAAAGTTGATATCTGATATCTCATTGTTTACTGTCATTAGTATATAATTATTTTTATATGGGCGTATCGTTGATGTTTTTGAAAAAGGTAAGGTGGAGATATGTTATGACTTTAAGAGCTTTTTATGATGTTATATTGTTATTGTTTAAATCAGATTGAAATATATTTTATTTAGGTTTTGTATATCTTTTTTGTCATTTATTGCGTTGGTGTTTCTATTTTATTTCTATTGATTCGTATATCTCCCTTTTCTTTTTGTTTTTTTCTGTTTTTAAAATTTTAATGTTTTCAAAGTCAAATTTATGCTTCTTCCCGCTTTCATGTTTTGTGAGCGCAGTGACGTTGTTCTTGTCGTATTTGTGAGAACGAATTCTGGATTGAAGCAGTTGACTGGTTTGACCGATATAGACACCTTCACAGTTTGTACATGGTATCTCGTAAACAACATGTGATTTTTTAAGTTTTGGAGTTTGTGTTTTTAGTTTTGTGAAGTATTTATTTAAGAGGTTGTTGCCTTTGTGGGCTACTGTTATATTATGTTTGGCTAAAAGATTTGTTAGTTGTTCGGATAAACCTTTTATATATGGAAGAGTTGTATAAGTGGTTTTGATACTGTTGGGTTTGTTGTTAGTTGTATTGTTATAAAATTTATTGAGTCTTGATTTGAAAATAGTTTCGATTAAATGTTCGGGATATGCATTCTTTAGAAGGGCATTTTTTGCTTTTTTTATTGCAGTTGGTCTGTATTCTGGATCTGTTAGTTTTATAGATTTATCAGCGAGACTTATAATTACAGACTTCTTATGGGAAAATGGATGATGGGAATTGTAGTTAAGATATCGTGAAGACCATGTTTCTTTTGTAAACCACATGGTTTTAACTGTATTGTTAATGCGATGTAAGGTGATATCCAGAAAGTTTATTTTATTATTTTGTTCAATTTCTATAGTGAACTTTAATTTTGGATGGTAACTGTTGAAAATATCTAAGATTTCGGTTGTTTTATTTGTTGGAATAGCACAGACACAGTCATCGATACCAACTGCAATAAAAAAAGCAAAAAATGCCCTTCTAAAGAATGCATATCCCGAACATTTAATCGAAACTATTTTCAAATCAAGACTCAATAAATTTTATAACAATACAACTAACAACAAACCCAACAGTATCAAAACCACTTATACAACTCTTCCATATATAAAAGGTTTATCCGAACAACTAACAAATCTTTTAGCCAAACATAATATAACAGTAGCCCACAAAGGCAACAACCTCTTAAATAAATACTTCACAAAACTAAAAACACAAACTCCAAAACTTAAAAAATCACATGTTGTTTACGAGATACCATGTACAAACTGTGAAGGTGTCTATATCGGTCAAACCAGTCAACTGCTTCAATCCAGAATTCGTTCTCACAAATACGACAAGAACAACGTCACTGCGCTCACAAAACATGAAAGCGGGAAGAAGCATAAATTTGACTTTGAAAACATTAAAATTTTAAAAACAGAAAAAAACAAAAAGAAAAGGGAGATATACGAATCAATAGAAATAAAAAGAAACACCAACGCAATAAATGACAAAAAAGATATACAAAACCTAAATAAAATATATTTCAATCTGATTTAAACAATAACAATATAACATCATAAAAAGCTCTTAAAGTCATAACATATCTCCACCTTACCTTTTTCAAAAACATCAACGATACGCCCATATAAAAATAATTATATACTAATGACAGTAAACAATGAGATATCAGATATCAACTTTTATATGTTAGTTCGTTAATGTCTGTGTCACGTTTTACGTTTTGGTAAGTCATATATATATACATATTTTACAATATCTGTTTGTCCTTATATTTATACACATTTTAGAATCTTGACAAAGGCAAGGGTTTCCTGCCGAAACGTTGATTAATTGCAATGGAAAATAAAATCTAGTTCCACATGTAACATATCTTTATTGAACCTAACCCAAGAAATATTAAATTTATATTATATATAATACGGTTCAAGAAACTCAAAACTACTATATATATATATATATATATATATATATATATATATATATATATACATTGGTATAAAATAAAACACAGTCCCCGTAATGTTGTATCTTTTTGTAGTTGTCGTGGAATAAAATATTTGAATATTATCTTACCTGTTGTCTGCACGGGAGGAGAAATAACAGCATAATTGAAATTTTTAACAGCAACTCTTCTGTAAGTGTTGATCAAAATATATGGAAGGTTCCCACCTACATAGTAATTTAAAGCCATGACGCATGCGTAGGAGCTGGTAAAACTTATAGATGCTATGTGACCATACATTGCGTTTGCCATGGATATTATAACACACGATACCATTATGGACAAAAACACCACCCAGAAATTTATGCCGTTGATAAAAATGACGATATCAGCTGAAAATATCGAGAATTGGTTTTATTAAATTATTATATCTGACATTACTTTTCACAAGACCACAGAATAAGAAACAATCAGAATGCCCACTCTCCTTGAAAAAAAAAAATACGCGCATCTCGTTCGCGCAGACGTTCAGCCATGTTTTAAACGGAACCAGTTCTGTTCATTGAACATTTATCTGGCGTGCGTTGAAAAGTTCAGTGGTAGCGTGTGTTAGCACAGAATAAGATTCTCAGCCTAGAGGATTTTGTTATGGATCATTTTCAAGCCTTTTCAATACTCCTGTGGTATTAGTGTTATATAATATAAATAACATAAATGTAAATATATTATTGATATATATATATATATATATATATATATATATATATATATATATATATATAATATATATATATATATATATAATATATAATATATATATATATATATATATATTATATATATATATATATTATATATTATATATATATATATATTATATATATTATATATATATATATATATATTATATATATATATATAATATATATATATATATATATATAAAATACATGTAAATTTAAATGTAAATGTGTCAAATGTCATACGATAAATAAATAAATTTAAAATGTATATAATAATTGATTATAAGATGGGCAAGTCACACATGGTATGTGCAGCAAAAAATTGCAATAATAAAGACTATAATTGCGATGTGTCTTTTTTCCGTTTTCCCAAAGATAATGCAAGGAAAGAAATACTGGATATAATACAGATGGTGGTTTAAGTTAAAAAAGTTTAAATTGAATTTATGAGTATTGGATTGAGGTTTACTAAATATCATGCAAAAGATTTTCTGTTCTTATTAGAGTTAGATAGCTTGTTGAACTAGATGGAGTACAGGAATCCATGATTTCTTGCTAAAATAAAACTTGGATAATTAAATAAGGTATTCTAACGAACAGATTTTTAAAACAATTGAAATGAAAAAGTTTTAGATCAAAATTATTTATGTAAACTTGAAGTTGGAATAAAACCGGCGCCATGGAGGGAAAATTTTTTTTATGTGTGCTTGGTGTTAAATAAAACCGTCAATAAATAATTACATATCCTCACAAATCATAGTTCGATACAGACCAATTACACAAAATGTGATTCTCAACCCGAGTCTGTGTTCTGCGTTTCCGTCTAAAACATGGCGCTCGCGTGCTGAAAAACTTCAAAGGCGGCATCTGAGAGTGGGCATTCGGATTGTTTCTTATGCTGTAGCTTTACATACCTATTATAATAGAAATTATAATAACCTTGCGAATATTGTTTCAAGGACATGAATCAACTTTATATCTTTCCTTATCTTTATTCATGAGTTTTTCTATCTTTGCGGTTTCAATTTTTTTCTTATAATATTGGCTCACAAAGAAAGCCTTAACATTGTTCTAAAAATTTTCATTTCAGTGATGCACATTTTATTGTTGAAAATGTTTTTCTCGAATTGCATATACAGGGTGTCATGAGGAACTGTACATACTCCTGCCTCGTATGGAGGTCCAGAGATATGGTCATGAGATATCTAAAGAGGTATAATCTTCTACACCTCTAATTTATTTAGAGCCACCGTAAACAAAGTTATTAATACCAATATGATCGCCAACGTTCGATAATCGGACAGGGTACTGAAAGAAGAACTTTATAAAATGACGACTCCACTATTATCCTACCAGCAGGCAAGGAGAATGAAACTGTGATAATGAATAAAATTCAATTTGAAAAAAAAAAATTCGAAAAAATTTGAAAAAGAAAAATAAAAATAAATAAAAAAGATCTAATAACAAACGAAACTTCTACAAAATTAACAAAGAATCCAAAGAAGCCTTTGGGAGACAGAATATATAGAACTTTATTAAATATTATTTAACAAATGCACAAGGAAACTAAATTCCTGTAGTTGGCTGTATACCATGTATAAAAAAAAAATTCCTTTATAAAAGGTATATTAATAAAAACCTATCGGGCTACATCACAGAACGTTTTCGGAATTAATATTCCATCATCAGTGCTATCCTAAAAGTATAACCACTTTAAATAAATCAAACATGAAAGTTAAAATTTTTTAATGTTAGTATTATTCAAAACAACTTGGTTCTGAAATTCTGAAAATTGGGGTTGTATTATTTAAAATGTTGAAAAAAGCACGGACTGTGATAGTATTAATAATTATAAATTAAATAGATTTAAAAAAAGTAACATGTTATAAATCTGTGGTTAAGTTTGCCAAACTTTTAATTCATAGTCAAATTTGTTTTTTTAATTAATTTTAACTGCATATTTTTGTCCTATTTATAAAATTCTTACTACAGTTTTCAAAAACGGTATAAAGGTTGTAATTTTCTATATGAACAGAAGAAACTAATTATTTAACACCGGACCTGACTTTTTTCAATTTTAATCAGGTCCGGTTTGTTTGTTCAAAAACATTTTTTCATTCAAAAAGTTTGATTTTTTTACATCTATACTCACTTTGCTTAACTTTTAATTCAGAGGCAAATTTAATTTTTTTAATTAAAAATTAAGAAATCGTGTGAGGAAAAAAACAGTTATGGCATTTTAATTGTCCATTTGTCTAATTTATACAATTATTATCAGTTTTCAAAAACCGTACACTGGTTGAAATTTTTACTATAAACAAAACGAACTAATTTTTTAAGACCGGATCTGACTTTTTTCTAGTTTGTATAAATCAGTTGGTTGGGTGGTAGTAGTGTAACGTTTGACCAAAATATGAGACACATCGAACCTACCGTTCAAAAGTTATGACCAATAGAAATTTCAGTTCAAAATCCACAACTCACCCCGTATGTTATTAAACAATACGAACAGATCCTTTTTAAAGGTCATTCGTTATTCTTCATAAAGACATCCATACGAGGTAGGAGTACCTATGTACAGTTCCTCATGACTCACCCTGTATATGGCGTATGGGACATTTTGAGAAAAAGTTTACCTAGAAATTCCCACCCGATTTTGACATTTGAACCAGTGTCTTTGCCAACAACAGACAAAATACGGATTGTTTTCACTGATAAATGTAAAATCTTGAAAACAGACAAAAGCCTTTATCGCTGTTTTGGACGGTTGTTAAAACGTGAAATTGTTAGCTTCATCAGAGTTGAAAATGCGAGCAAGGCAACGATTTATAGGGCGATAAGAGAATGCGAAGATGGTAACCCTTATATCAATTTGTCAAATACTGATACAAAACAGGTTTAGCAAACTTGTAAAATCCGCTCAAGACACAAGAACGGTGTTTGTACTCGAAATATGCGTAGCCGTTTTGTAGTGTCACAAAAGGCTATCGCTACGATGTCAAAATGTGACAATTTTCCGAAATGGTGATTTAAAAAATCGTTGAATTTTAAAAATATCATAAAACTTCACCCATAACTGTGAACATGCTAATATTTTGGCTTTGGTTTGTACTAGCCTGTAAAAGTTATTGTCAATCCCACACTTCTTTAATCCTATTTGAGGCCATAAAATTTTTGAGTTGTGACGTTCTTTAACAAAAATATGTTCGTTTGGAGATAATTAATTTCTTAATTAAAATTATTTTGGTTTTTTTTTACAAATGTAGATTTGTTACATAAAAATAAGAACAAGGACGCTATAGTTTAAAAAATAAAAAAATACTGTCAATATTCGTAAATTTTAGTAAAAGAAAATACTTGTCTTCATTCTATAATTTTTCATAATACACTCTCTTTATTATTTTTGACAGAAAAGATTAGCATGTCTCAATAATTTACCAATAAATTATTGAGACATAACTCAAAACAATACTACAACCATATTGCAATGACGATAACTCATTTGAAACATAACCTCAAATTGTTTACAATATTTACACAACTGAAAATAATGCATTCTTCACAGAAAGTACTACATTACCTTATTGTGTTTTTGAGAAAGGACGACATATCTCAAAATATGACAATATTGTGCAAAATGTCGAACAAACTTATGCAAAAATTTAAGGTACATCTTCACCTAGCTAGGCGTAGAATCGGTGAGTGGGTCCAGAACGAGATTGCCGTTGATTCCGGTTTTCACAAGCGAATTTTGTTTAACGATGAAGCTCACTTTTGGTTGAATGGCTACGCCAACAAACAAAACTGCCCTATTTGGAGTTAAGATAATCTTCAAAAGTATATTGAGAAACCATTACATCCAGAACAACTGACTGTTTGATGTTCTTTATGGTCTGGTGGAATCATTGGACCTTACTTCTTCAAAATCGATGCTAGCCAGAACGTTACAGTTAATGGTGACCATGATATGCTGGAGCTGTCGTTTCAATATAATTGCGCAATATGTCACACATCTCGTGCCACAATATTGATTTATGTCAATGTAGTTTCGCGTTAAAAATTAAATCCAGCAGTTGCGCAATAAAATGAACAAAAAAAAAATGTCGAGCAAAATTAGAAAAATCGAAAAATTGCAGTATCGAACTAGCATTAAATAACTGTCTTCGAAGCAATGGCATTAAATAACTGTCTTCATATACGTGTATTCAGAGCAGTAAAATGTTATACATAAAGATGTAAGAGGATCCGCTTACCTGGTCCACTCGTAATAAAGTTATTAGAATTTAATCCCAAAAACGGTCTTACATAGTTTTGACTGTATGTCTACTCCTTTTGCATAAAAATGAATTCACTTACCTAACACAGTATAAAATAATAGAGAAGCTGCCAAAAATCCTGAGAGAATAAATGCGATATTAATTATCAAGAACGGCATTCCACAAGTTCGCCATATGATTAGCCATATTATACCATATATAAAGCCTACCGAGAAGGCGGTAATTGTTTTTTCTAAAAAAATAACAAAATTACCAAAACTAATTAAAAAACGTGTTTTTTTTTTAGTAAAACTTTTAACTCGATAAATAGACAAGGCGAAAAGCTCGGGTTCGTTCGGAAAAATAAAAGTTTTTTTTTATTACTTTCATAAGCTACCATAAAATAAGGTTCAAGAGGTCGTACAGGAGAAAAGTGTTTAAATTTTTTTAAACAAATTGTAACAATTAGTTTTTTCCAACAGGACTTTTTTAAATTTTGGATCATTCTGGACAAAATAATTCTCTTGCAATTTTTCTGTAAACTTGATAGTTTTTGGGGTATAGATAATTTCAAACTGAGAAAAAAGCAAAATTAAGATTTTTAAGGCTCAAAAACACAAGTAACAAGCATTGTTTTCGAATTCATCAAGGACCTAAATTGAAGTTCAAACCTTGTTCTATCATTTCCCAATAAGCAGTTTGACCCTATTTCATTTTGAAACATTGTTTTTTAACCGTTAATAAAGTTCTTATGCCAGGGCGGGCACTTGGAAGAATTTAAACCAGCAAAAATTTGTGCCCTAGACCAGGGGTCACCAATAATATTCCCTGAGGGTCCGTTTCAAAAACCTACTACACTTCCGCGGTCCGGACGCTTAGCACTAAACGAGGTAGTGGCGTAACCGAGAAAGGGGGTTACCTCCAGTAGTTGTAACCCCCTTCAGGAGATCTTCTGCTTACGTAGTTGAAACCAGGCAACTAGTCCACCTCGTTTAGGGAGGGGTATGAAATAAACGCAAGGAAAAAGATGATTATAAAGCTATTATATTGTTTTTTCTCCCGTCTTTCTATTTGTATCTTAGAATTTAATTTAATCATTGAGTGATACTCTTTCTAGTTGTTTTTTTAACTATAGTGTTTAACAATTTTATGGAACATATCTAAAACTATTTAAACATTTAAATTTTAGTAACAACTTAGCTTAAATAGCGTTTTTTTAGTTTAAAACTGCAATTCTGTACATTTTACGGCGAATAAAAAAACTGTATAAGTATGGAAAAGCAAACTAAAATCTCATTGTTTTTTGGCCACTGTACCGGGTTTCTAATAATATTTTGACCCCCATTTATTTTCCTTAATTTAGGGAACACAAAAAAAGTTTCAAATAAAAGTTGTATTATTTTATCTGTACCGACCAACAATGTAGCAACAGACAAGATTTTGTATACAGGGATGACGATAATTATATAAAAATATATTTGTAGAAGCTGTCGATCGGGATAAATCAGCCTATATTCTCTTCTTGCCGCTTGCTTTTTTTTATTATTTTTTTACATTTCGGTATGAGGTCTGACAGTTTCTAATAAATTAATAATTGTTTCATTTTAAAATGTCAGTTGCATAGCCACCTATGGTTACCCTTTTGTAGAGCCATATGCCATCATAGAATAAAACTAATGCTACGCTGTTATATATTTGTAATCAGGAAATGCAGGGCTACTCAAAACTATAAAAAAATACAGGTTGTCTTATTTGAAATATTGAAGATGCATTATATTGGGCACTCCCTGTATACAAAATTTGGTCTGTTGCTACACTGTTGGTCGGTACAGATACGACTTTTATTTGAAACTTTTTTTTGTATTCCCCAAATTAAGGAAAATAAGTGGGGGGTCAAGATATAATGAGAAACTCTGTACAGTTGAATACTTTCCTGGTACAGTAACTGAAATATAAATTGTGTGTTGTTTTGATATCATTAATAGTACATTTTGAATACAGCAGTACTGTAAATTATTACTGAAAATATTTTAAAAGCCAGAAATTTATACAAAATGGTAATTAACATGTTATCTTTCTTACGTTAGTTTCAATGCCAGATGAATGTTTGTTTTAAGCTTTATGCATCTGTAACTATTTTAATTAAATGGTCAGCTGAATTGTACTCTTATTTAGCATGTAGAGAAAAATGGAATATAAAATAACGAACATAACAAATTTTACATTCTTCTTCTTCGTCTAGCCATTCACGTCCACATCTGAACATAAGCCTCTTCAAGTCTTCCTTTCCATTGTTTTTTATTGTACGCTACTTGTAGCCAATTTTTCCCGGCAGTCCTTTTCAGATCATCTGTCCATCTCATAGGAGGTCTGCCTCTGGGTCTTTTGTGTTGGTATGGTCTCCAGGTTAAAATTGATCTGTGCCATTTGTTTAGATCGCTCCTAGCTACGTGTCCAGCGTATTCCCATTTCAACTTTAATGATTTTTGCACCACATCGGTGACTTTGGTTTTCTGTCTTATCCATGTGTTTTCTTGTCCTTAAGTGATATACCTAGCATTGCTCTTTCCATCGCGTGTTGAGTGACTCTTAAGTATATTCATATTCTTTTTTGTGATTGTCCATGTTTGTGCCGTATAAGTTAATATCGGAAATTTTACATTAGTTTAATTAAATTCAAAACTAATGATTGCAATAAGTATAAAAATAAAGGTAAAACTCCTTTTAAAATTAAACGAAAAATGACACTTTTTATTTTGTACAACCAGTTCGAAATTTGCACAGAGGTTAGTGCAACTAATTCTCATTAGGGAGCCGAGATGTTCATCTATCAACCAAGATCTGTACCGATTTCCAATAGTTTATTTTTGAAAAAGCGGTATCGCACACACAAGTTGAACCAATCATAGTTTCACAGTTCACAGTTTCATTGTAAAAGATTTTATGTCCCAGTAAGACAAAATTTGTCCCAGGCAAGCCTTTCTGGAACTTGAGTTTAAACATCTTTTAAAACGGAATCTTCCTGATACTCGTTCATGTCCATCTGAATGAGAGCTTTGTTACTGCTAAACACGTCTGCTTCTTCGCTGGTCCATACGCCATTAGGCTTGAGTGAAAAACTGTTGCTTAACAGTTGCACAACATTTTCAATTTTGTGGAAAACAGAAAATAGTTTTTTAAATTATAAATCAAGTTCATTAATAAAAAGTGAAAACTGGGTAACATCAATATCTTTATTACTATCACAAACGGATTTAAGGAGAGGAAAATACAAAACTTCTGCCTTAATACCCTCAGAAAAAAGTTCAATCTTTTTAGAAAAACTTCTATATTCGACAGAAGTGCATAAACAAGTTTTCCTTTGCATTGTAGCTTTAAATTAATGAGGTTCAGATATCTGAAGATATCCGCCAAAAATTCGATAATTGCAACGTTTTCTGTGTCCAAGAGGAAGCCCAAATGGTCATTTGCAGCTTCATTATCAATAGTGGATGGAACGTCTTTTATGTTGTCAGGTATTGCAGAGAATCTTTCAAGCACTAAAACTTTGATAAGCCATCTCACGTTGTTATGAAGAAGCAAATCGTTATTTTATAACGTTATTTATATAATTAGATTTGGTTATAATTTTATACTATAATTTTATTACTATACTTTGAATTTAACGGCAGTCCGCAAAGAACAAGCTCGCGGTCCGGATGCGGACCACGGTCTGCCATTTGGTGACCCCTGCCCTAGACCTTGTTTCTCTCTTTTATACACGCCGGAGCCCGCGCGCCCGTCCTGTCATAAGCGCTTCATTAACGATTAAAAAAGAATGTTTTAAAATGACATAGGCCTAAAATACCTATCGGGAAATGATAGAACAAGGTTAGAACTTGAATTGTCCTTGGTGAATTCAAAAATACTGTTTTTTAGTTGTGTCTTTGAGCCTTAAAAATCGTAATTTTACGTTTTTCTCAGTTTTAAATTATTACAATTTGTTTAAAAAAAAGTTGAACAAGTTTTAGCTTGGGCGACCTCTTGAACCTTAATTGGGCTTTTGATAAGTACCTATTTATTTTTTGTATTGTCGAATCAGTGGCGCCCCTAACAAAATTATTAACAGCCGCCACTCTTTGGATATGATAATTAGGTCATGACGATTAGGTACGTTAAAATGACCCAAAAAATGTGTTTTGACTCAATTTTAAATGTTTTACTCTGAAATAACAGACTTTTATTATTACAAAAAATAAATAGTATCAAATGTCGACTAAAAGTGACACAATCGTTATTACTAACATGAATTAGTTCTTATAAGACAATTATTTTTTATACAGTGTGTCGATAAAGTATCACCCAAACATTTTCCAAACTATAAAACTTTAAAGACAATAAATTTTTGGCTAACTCAACCAGGGCACTTGATCATAGTTTTTAAGATGTTTGAGTGATATTATCGTTAACAACGAAGATTTAGCAAAATTATTTTAAATGGGACAACTATAGCATATAACATCATTTGAAACCTTTAGGAACACACAGTATGTTCGTAGACGTTTGTGTCATTCTTGTTTATTACATGCAATTTGAGATAAACCCGACAATTGCCACGATTTTATTAGCCAAACGTGGACTGGTTATAGATTAAAGTGGTATTTTCTTGCAATTCAAATTAAACACAAAACTTTTGTTTTTACTTATATCAGCATAAACTATTGTATAGTGATTTATTTGAATATTAACAATGAATAGTGAATATTAACAATGTTATAGTGTAACGTTCCGTCACACTGTAACATTATTGTTGACAGTATTATTGAAATGACAGAAATTCTTTATGCAAAAATTAAAGAACTTAATGAGTCATGCAATAGTTTTTAAAGTATGTATCACATACCATATGTGAAGCTAACTTTAATTAGTAATGAGGCAATTACACGACAGGAAAATGGACAAAAAAGGTGAACGGTAGGCTGTACTGTAGATTAGCGCGGAGTTTCATACTATGCTTTCTTCTTCTTAACGTGCCCTATCAAGTCCCCTTGACGTTGGCGATTAACATAACGAAACTGTCTCTGTCTCGAGCTATTGTAAAGAGTTGCTCAGCTTTCCTTATTCCTGTCCATTCCCTGATATTCTTCAACCAAGAGGCCTGCTTTCTACCAATTCCTCTGCGTCCTTCGATTTTACCCATCATAATAAGTTGAAGAATATTATATCGGTCTCCCCTTACTACGTGTCCAAAATAGGCCATCTTTCTACATTTGA